ATTCAGAAATTTGTCGCCTTTTTTTTTGTCAACTTTCACAACACATTAAAAGGATTTGCCTTGGCACGTGCTCGCACACTTAAAGCGCTTTCAAAGAGGCAACCAAACAAAAAAAAAATTGCGTAACTGATCCTTTGGCATATCCTTGAAGTGCCAATTGAAACGAGAGCAAAAGAAATTAGCATTTATTTTCAAAGTGCGTGTTTATTTAGCTATTTATTCAATTTTAATTTCAATTTTTTCTCTCACTCTCTCTTCCTCTCTCTCTCTGTCTCTGTCTTGCACTTGGCTGGCAATCAGTCATGCCTGAGCAGCAAATAGATGCGATTACATTTAATTGAATTCAGAAGCAGCGGCAAAAAAAGAACAGAAAAATTGTATTAAATTACCAAAACGAAAAGCAAAAAAAAAAAAAATTATATATATAATCCAAAAGGAAAGAAAAACGTGACACTACAAAATGTTCGCGTATTCAAATTTCTCCAACGCCAAGTCCCTGAAATTGCCAAGACTATTGGGGTAGAAATGCTTTCATTGTTGCGTCTCCTTGTGGACAACTGTGTAATGCGAATACAGTCAATAATAATGATAAGCCTTTAATAGAATATGATTTACATAAATTGAACAGGATTCTGGCAAAATTCTCGTTGGGTATTTTCTTGGTTTTGTACATCAAATGTGGACAAACAAAATCTTTTTTTTAGATGGAATTTCGAATCTAAAATAAAGTTTTCTTGAATCGTGATAATAGGAAATATTTGAAAATATTTTAAGGTAAAGAAATGTAATTTCAGAAATTTTTCAAGAGATGATAAAATCTTACTCTTTTATGGTAAGAATGTAATTTTATTTGATATATTTTTTTTATATTCTTATTTTATTTAATTTATTTTTATTTTTATATGATATAAATTTATTTTTATTGATTTTTTTTTTTTTTTTTTTTTTTTTTTTTTTTATTTTTTTTTTTTTTTTTTTTTTTTTTTGAAAAGTATTTGGCATAAAAGTGTTTATTAAAATAATTTTAAAACATATTTTTTAATTTATGTATTTTTTATTTACAATAATTGGTGCTAATAATAATTTTATATAATATTGATATTAATATATTTAAATTATTTTATTATTTTCCAAAAAATATTTCAAAATTAATTTAAATTAAATTATTTGTAAATGTTATCCAAAAACATTAACTGAATAAAAACATGTGCAAAACTAAAGTTGTTTACAGTTAAATGCCGCACTCTACAGTCTCTTACCACCTGCCTCTACATATAGAATCAAATTGAATAGGCTGAAAACATTTCAATTAAAGTCAGATTCAATTAATTACGCGCTAAATGATGATGACTGCATTTTGGGTCTATTATGAGTTTGCTCAACCAGCTTAAGAGCGAGGCAGCCATGAAAACGTTTTGCAATTCAGAGCCAGGACGAACAGGACGAAACGGGACGTCGCACAGCAGAAATTCAATTAACCTCGAGTGCCTCGGCTGCGGCATTGTGTGGCATAAAACAAAATGCGGTGGCATTCGCCATTCACACCTCATCAACATCAAGTGGATGGGAAGGGAGGCTAGACTGGCTTCCCCGGCCACAAACTCTCTCTCTCTCTCTTAGCTACAGCTCAATTGTTAATAAAGTTCACATTTGTTTGCCTTGGCCTCCAGCTGGCGAAACTTGGCCAACGGCTAACAGTAAAAGCTGCCTGATGATTAAGAGCTGAGCAAACGAATCCAGCTCACTGTTTGCTTAGCCAGTGTCTAAGCAGCTCGCTCGAACTGTATTTTAAACTGTTTGCCAGATGCCTCACTCTAACTCTCTCTCTCTCTCTTTCTCTCTCGCTCTCTCTCTCTGCTATGTAATTAACATTTCAATTCTATGCTATTTACCTATCGCCTGCCCCAGCTCCAACGAGCCGCACCACATCATCAGGCAAATGTATCTCTTCTGCTCCAGCTGCTCGCTGAGCATCCTCAGCCTGCCCTCCCCTCCCCTCTGCTCGCCCTCTCCTTTTCTCTGGTAAAATGCCTTGGCAATAAATAAATTGTTTTCCAGCTCCGGTTTTTGTTGACATATGCAAATTTTTGCTGCCTGCACGCGTACAACAAAGTTTTTTGATTGCTTTTAAGCGTTATATGCACTCTCTCTCTCTCGCTCTGGGTTAGGGTGGACCAGAGACCCGGGCTATTTGCCAGACTTGAAGGTTGTTCAATAAGCTCTGATTGTTTGCTCTTTGCTGGTTTTATTACTTGTTTGTCCGCTGGAGTACCTGATGCGAGCTGATGTATAGCATTTATGTAAATTAGTG